AGAAGAAGAAGAAGAAGAAGAAGAAGAAGAGAAGAAGACGAGAAGAAGAAGAAGAAAGACGAAGAAGAAGAATGAAGAAGAAGAAGAAGAGAATAAGAAGAAAAAGAAGAAGAAGAAGAAGAAGAAGAAGAAGAAAAGAAGAAGAAGAAGAAGAAGAAGAAGAAGAAGAAGAAGAAGATGATGATGATGATGATGATGACGATGAAGAAGAAGAAGAAGAAGAAAAGAAGAAGAAGAAGAGAAGAAGAAGAAGAAGAAGAAGAAGAAGAAGAAGAAGAATAAAGAAGAAGAGTAAGAAGAAGAAGAAGAAGAAGAAGAAAAGAAGAAGAAGAAGAAGAGAAGAAGAAGAGAAGAAGAAGAAGAAGAAGAAGAAGAAGAAGAAGAAGAAGAAGAAGAAGAAGAAGAGGAAGAAGAGAAAGAAGAGGGAAGAAGAGAAGAAGAGAAGAAGAAGAAGAAGAAGAAGAAGAAGATAGATAGAACTAAGAAGAAGAAGAAGAAGAGGAAGAAGAGAGAAGAAGAAGAAGAAGAAGAAGAAGAAGAAGAAGAAAAAGAAGAAGAAGAAGAGGAAGACCACTAGGCACTTTTACGTTATGTTTTAGGACATACATTGAAAAAGATGAGAAAAATCTCAAAAGAATGTTCAACGCGAATTTGAAAATAAAGTAAAATAAAAATACCACGCATTTCTTTTAAGAAGTTCAAAAACCAGTCCGAGTATTTGTCTTATGTGTGATCTTAACTTGGATTGAACCGGCGCAGCTGTAGGCTCGCGCACACACGTATATTAGATTAAGCAGGTTCTATGTGGAAGCTTCACTTTTTTTTTTCAGAACTTACTGGAACCAGTAGAAATAGCCGAGAGTACGTTCCAACATCCCGTGTGTCTTCAGTGTGTGAAACTGGTGCAAAACCCGTTCAATCCCCTGGAAGAAGACCCGCTTATAGACAAACTGCTTAAACGAGTGGATGATGGTATTGAGATGTGTTGTGCCGAGAATGAAGAGCAGGTGTCCGTCTTGGTTGAAGCTGTAAGTCCTCATTATTGTAAAAACTAACATAGTTCACCATCTTCATCATCATGATGGTGATGATGATGATGATCATCGTCATCACCACCATCCTCATCACCAGAGGGTTTGGCCAGCACACTACGCTCAGAGGAATAGCAAGACGGACATACAACCAGACTACGACTGTCACTATTGGTATTGGAACTCTGCGCTGGCTGCTGAGGATTGGGACAAAGGCGCTTATGGGAATGCACCGAGTGATGTGATGTCAATTCTTGATCAACTCAACTCAACATCATCATCATCCATGAAGCATGCCCTTCTGCAAATGGTCACTCCCATCGCAGTTCAAACTAAAATCTTTCGGTCCCCAACACACACCATGTATTTTCATATTCCATGTATCTTTAATATATCTGTATATCCTTTGCTTGACCTTACATTGGTAGACCCCTGCCTCTGCTTCCAGGAATTATATCACCCATCACAGTCCTTCCGGGAGCCATGCTTGTGTAGCGGCTAGACGCTCGCCTGTGGATTTGAAGGTCGTGGGTTCACATCCGATCTGACATTGACTTCCACGACGACACAGCTTTAAATAGGTACCACAAGAAGTCCTTGGAAATAAAGGCGGCCGGCGTGATGTTGACCATATCATCCACCGAGTACCGATTGACCTATAAAATGGTCTAGCCCTATATGCCCAACATGCCTGAATGCGTGGAAAAGGGTCCTGTCTTTTTACTTACTGTCCTTGATAACAAATGATTTATGACAATTGTATGATGTGATTGCCCATACAGATGGCTCTGTGTTGAGGGGCAGGCGAAGTGCAGGGGGTTCTTAGCAAAAACAAATGGTCATCGCTTAGTGCAGCAAAGCCTTGCGTATGATATCACAACGTCTAGTTTGAGAATGGAGGTGGAGGCAGTCACTGCTGCCTTCCATTGGTTTAAGAGTCAGCTATACACACATGTGGTAATTGTAACTGAGCCGCTCCAGCTCATTGAAGAACAACGAGTGAGATTGTTTGGCCATCTGAAGTAAATTCCCTGGTAGCAACTGCCACAGAGTCATCTATATTGACAAAATATTATTAACACAGACTAAGAGGTCACAACATAAAACATGGAACGACGGCATCAAAATTTACATCAGAGACATGAAAATTAACTTAAACAAGGCATTACAAGGAACACACAGACGATCCTTACATCGCCCCCCCCCCTTTCCCTTTCCCCTATCCACACTTAGCTGAAGTAGGTGGAAGAAGGGAAGAAGAAGAAGCTGCGCTCTGAGGTCCAGCTCATACCTCCCATGCAACAGTTGTCTCAAAGTACCTCTGTTCACTTTTCCAGTGAGAAGATTGTCTGTCTCTAAAAATGTATCTCTTATGTTGTGTATTTCGTTTTGCAGATGACCAGAGTACAAGAGACTAAACCTGGTGAGTTTTTGTATACGCTCTTTTTCTCTTGGCGTTCTCTAATTGTAAACTCCTAAAGAAAGTTTTGGTTGTTCATTCACTCCTGTACTTTGGCTATGATCCAGAACTTTAGTTAGCTGTGCACATGCCTAGAAAACACAGATCTGGCTTATTTGTTTGCAAACTGCTAGTTCTTTGCCTTTCGGGCAGATGCATTCAGACCTTGAAGTAAACACCCCTAATTAGTCGCCTCCTATGACATGCTTGTTGGGGACAGTGGGTCTTTTCTTTGTTCTCCAAAACTGAGACCGGAACCCACACGGGGAACGCATTAAGTCAGACAACATCACCTCCAGGATGGTACATCTGTCAACATAATCTAAAGTTAAAGTCGAGCAGATCAACTTCATTTTCCCTGAATTATGCCATAAAGCTGGGTTTCTCCCCGCAGAACGTCTATCCACATGGTGAAAGCGTCGTTCAAAGCACGAACTCCAAGGCTCTAGCAACGATCCCTTGTCTACGTTGTACAAGTTCAAACATAGCTCGGCAAATGGAAAAATATTAAAGGGCATACTGTTCCAATTTATTTCCTAATGATAATGTTTCCGGTTTTAGTATCATTCTCGAACGAGTAATTCACCCTTTCTTTCTGTTGACCTAGAAAAAATGGGGCGTGGTTAAACTGACCTGCTTGAGATATCCCGTTTTCAGTTCAAAATATTAGTTTGATGTCATGTTTTCTGCTGACAATATTATGTCTGCTCTATCCATGTGCCATGACGATTGACTACTAACTCATTTTGTTTACACATGAAATTATATTAGTGTAATTATTTCTTTCTCCCCCTCGCCCCCACCCCCTTTTTTTTTAAATGAGCAGTCCCAGATTTATCTCACGCCAGTACAAGCTTGAATGTTGTACCGGTATCTGCCCACAAACAGCTGCTTCCTGGCGACGATCGAGAACTTAACGTAACAGGTAAATCGTGTTTTAAATGTGTAAAACCTGGTAAAAACGAACTGGCATAAGACTAACATTCGGTTAACAAGAACACAATGTCGGTCCTAGCAGGCGTGCACATGTTTAATGTAGTGTTTTATCTGGGCATCCGGGATCATACTGTGGGGGCGGGGGAAGTGTTGTTGGACACAGTGCCCCATAATAAACATGTCGTAACAGTGGACTAACTGGAAATGTTTCATTCGAAGTCAAAGCGCATTTTCCTGAGAGGCAAGAGACTAACAGTCTGTACGAGATCAGTAAAACGGATGTGCGCTGTTCTGGAACTAGATTAAAGACCAGAAGTCGACGAACAGCTAGAACTTTCCACAAACGAGGAACACGACGAAATAGATTACAATATTGCAGTCCCCTGTTAACAGGACTGTTTTTACACAATCTCTGTATTTTTCGGCTTCTTGGAATTCTCGTTAACAAGGTTTGGTTACTCTGTTACGTTAAAAGTTGATTGCTCTAAAGGTAGAGGAGAGGATCGACTTCATTCCCCATGGTTTTATCCCTTATGGCTCACTCTCTCTCTCTCTCTCTCTCTCTCTCTCTCTCTCTCTCTTTCTCTCTCTCTCTCTCTGCAGAGCAGCTAGCTGCCTGCCAAAATCATCGCACGACCTCCGTAGCTCCATAAAGCCTTCATGTATTGTATAAGCCTCGATGACATAACAGCTAGCCACTCGTCTACTTGAGCTGGATTTTTTTCAGAAATGACCTTGACTCCCAGGTCGACCTAGCCTTGAGTGAATACCAGGTGCAGTCCTAGGAAGTAAAGGCGGCCGGTGTGATGCTAACCATATCACCCATTAAGTGCCGTTTGGTCTATAAAATATAGGTCTAACTCTAGATATTCAATACGCCTCGAGGCGTGGAAAAGGTTTCTTTTACGTATTTTAGATGGTGACGCTAATTTACAGATGAGTACAAAATATCGACATTTACAAATGTGTACATGAATAATACAGGTATTTAGGTGTATTCTTTGGCACAGGGTCCTATGCAACGAATTGAATGCACTAAGTGGAGAAAACGGGTTTAGGTCTGTTGATAAAGGACAGGTTAAGACCGGAGCGACTGAAAAGAAGAGCTCTACATAAAGGCGATGGTAACAACCATGTTGTAATTGTTGATTATATTTCTTATGGCGAGCGGGTCTTGTTAGTCCACTCGCCATCGCCATGGACTGTCAGCCCCATGCCACCTCATAGAGCAATATATCGTCTGGTAAAACTAACAAGTGTCAACATTAACGCAATTTCAATAGTTTTAGGACCTGACTGGTCTCCCTCACGTCCACATGCCGAAACAGTAGTAACTGTAAGCAGTAAAATATGGGATTCGTAAAAGCAAATTAAAAAAAAAAAAAAGAAATGCTCTTACTTCCTGTAATTGCCACTTTTCCAATGTAGTCAGTACTTTTCAACTGTCTACGGAATGGGCTCAGTGCGGGTTACACTTTGTTTAAGTGCGTAATAATAATTATTATTATACTTATTATCTGCTGAATGACAATTAAATGCAATAATGTATACTATCATGTTTGTGTTTCAAACAGGACCATACTTTGGTAACGCAGGAGATCACTTCGTTGCCCGGTTCAACTCCAAGTACAATGACCTACTCACAGAGCACGCCAATCGAGTCACAGTGCTGGATGAGGCTCTTCAGATCCTGTATTCGGGAGTTTACTATGTCTACCTTAGCGTCAACATCGCCCCACGGTTCCATGACAATTCTGCGAAGACTGTTCAGGTAACTACTAAACTATTCTACTTTGGCTTGTATAAAAATCTCCAGTTCCAATGTGGGACTTAATTTTTTCGTTGTATTGAAGCCCAACCCCGTCTGTGGTCGGGGACCCTAATGTAACCTTATGGTCGAACGGGGTTTCTGGGACATGTGCCCGGGTGATGCTCATCTGCATGGTAGCACTTTGTGTCACCGGGTGTTGGTCGCTTGTTGTACTGGTGGTTGAATTAGACAGATACATACACTTTGGCTGGCATCTGGTCCGGAGCTTCTTCTTATTCTTCGAGTTCGCCCGCTGTAAACTCCGGCAGAGAGTTGTTTGGTTGTATACCCACTTGTGGATTTAGTCTTGTTCCAGAACCTGAGCTGTGTGCGCACATCCGTTTTACAGATCTGGCGTATTTAGACGTAGACTGTTGGTTCCTTGCCTCTCAGGCAGATTAACTCCAGCTTCAAAGGAAACCCCTAAATAGTCGACTTTAACAACATGCTTGTTAGGGAGGCTGTGGGGCTCTGGAACTCCTCTCATTTCCTCTCTCCTTACGTCATTTATCTAACTCTCCTATCAAGTACACGTAATAACGGATGATGACAACAGTCAACCAGAAATCAATAAAAGAAGATGAAACGGCTAAAACTGTCTTTAGTAACATGCTAAAATTACTGACAGCTTATGAGAAAGTCGGCGTCTGTGGTTTAAGTATTGCGAACGCGCTTCGTGATGCCGGGGTGCTGTGTTCGATCCCTGCATCGGACGATTTGTCTTGCGCTGGTTTCGACAGTGGTACAAAGAGCTGACCGTTAAGAAAGCAATGGCAAACTACTGAATGTAAAATTTGACTAGAAAAACCACAAAAACAAATAAATGCTGGGGTTGGTTCTGCAACGTCCTGTAAGGAAAACGCAACAAACTTTTAACTTTGGAGATAAAGAACACGTTAAAATGAGAATTGTCAAATGTTATTATACTCTACCCTATTGTATATGGTAGAAACTTGGACAATGAACATAATCTCTGAAAATGCAGGTTTATAGAAGAATAAGTCGTATTTCGTGGACACAAACAGGTCAAATACAGAGGTTCTCGAAAGACTACGAACGAAAAGAGAATTACTGAAAAAAAAAAAAAATAAACTAGAGATAATTGAAATATTTTGGCCACATTGAAAGACATAACATTCTTTTGAAAATCAGACTGGAGAGAAAGGTCGATGGCCAGAGAGCAAGACATATATAACGATACAAGTGGGAGGACAACATCAGGAGATGGACGAGCAGCAGTCTGCGAGAGTCTTCAACCAAGACAAGAGACAGAGCGTGCTGAAGATCCACTGCAGAAAGCCTTTACTGCGGAGACGGCTGATTGATTGCCCTTTTCCAGCCATGTCTACACGAGACAGTTTGCGTTTTAGAATACAAATTACTTTTTTCCCTAGCATGAATTGTTAATTTTATTTTGATACTTCAAATCCTATTTTTCATTTGCCGTTGACGTGTCCAGGAATGGCGCTTTTCTGTTCATCGTACACGGCCCAACAGTCCAGCAACCAGTGGTGTGCTCTTGCAGCTATCTCACACCCCGTGCTCCGACTGCAGCCATCACCAGGAGACCGCATTTTCTGGTAAGTTTTGCTTAGCAGAAGGCGCATCAAGCTCCTCTTGTCCTTTATCTTCGTTTTCCTCTTTGTCATCCTTTTCTTTTACTTTTCCCTCCTCTCACATATCCGTCCCCTACTCCCTTTCCTTTCCTACTCCTCTCTATTCTTCTTGTTTTTCTTCTTCTTCTTCTTCTTCTTCTTCTTCTTCTTCTTCTTCTTCTTCTTCTTCTTCTTCTTCTTCTTCTTCTTCTTCTTCTTCTTCTTCTTCTTCTTCTTCTTCTTCTTCTTCTTCTTCTTCTTCTTCTTCTTCTTCTTCTTCTTCTTCTTCTTCATCCTCCTCCTCCTCCCCCTCCTCCTTATATTATTATTATTCTCCACCTCCTCTGTCTTCTCATACTCCTTCTCCCTTCTTTTCTTTATTCTTCTCCACATAGGGCAATATGTAATATCTGTCATACTATATTAGTCCATCTATGATACTAAGGCAGAAATAGAGAGGAGAAGAATAAGAGAGAAAGAAAGAGAGAGAGAGAGAGAGGAGAGGGGAGGGAGAGGAGATATGCCTGACTATTTAATTTTATTATGTATATTATTATCAAACGATCATTGCCCGAATTCAAACACTAAATATCCGCGTGTCTTCAATCGCCAGGTGGGACCTTCACACTGAAAAAGAATGATCTGCTACAAGTGTGCATCAGTGGACTAGGCTTGGTTCAGTACAGCAAGGAGTCATCGTTTCTAGGGCTCACTCTTCTGTCGAATAATCCAGCAGAAAAATAAATAATATGTAGATAAAACGTGACAGATAACTGCAGTAGGGGATAACTACGGTACGGATAACACAAAACAAAGGGCTTAGATGAAATGACAGTAAAATAAATATGCCAATGCATAATAATATGTAAAGATGTACAGTATAAAATGACAGGGATATTGTGTATTCTCATTTTTTTGTTTTAAGATACCAGAAATTTTGTTTTGTTTTGATGGTACGCAATACGGCCACTTTTTAATAATATTGTTATTCAGCACGAATGTAATAAACACTTTTTGGGTGAGCACCTTTTTTTAGACACTTTTTGTACCGGCACATTGCCCTTGAAAATACACTGTGTAAGAATTTTATGTATTAACTATAGAAAGTTTATATGAAAGTAATGTGGTTTTATAGATGAATAATGAAGATTTCTCTAAAAGAAGTTGACTTACGAAGAGAACTAATTGCCCAAATCGAAAGAAGCCAATCTACATTCTTTGCTCATATGATTAAAAGGAGAAAACTGAAGTAAATCGTGACGGTAGGGAAGTTGAAAGGATAAAGAGGCAGACGGAGCGAAAGAGATTTTGCTTGACAGTTTGACATCATGGCATGGAAGATTATCTGTGTGAGATATGACTGAAAGTACACGAGACAGAAGGTTGTGGACTGTTATGAATACCAATGCCAGAAGGTATGAAAGATCATCTGGGTCAGAGCTGAGTGAAAGTACACGAGACAGAAGGTTGTGGACTGTTATGAATACCAATGCCAGAAGGTATGAAAGATCATCTGGGTCAGAACTGAGTGAAAGTACAGAGACAGAACGTTGTGGACTTACATTACTACCAACGCCACTTGCCAGGGAATGTAAAAAGGCGACTTGCATTAATTATGGACGTGGTTTAAAAAATATATATATATTAGAATTTGTTTTTTTTTTTTAAGTACCGTATTTACGCGTGTATAGTTTGCATGCGTACATAGGATATACCCACTTTCCGAAAGGGTAATTTTCTTCTTTTGCCTTTTGTCCGCCTATGGAGCATAGGCTCTCAACCAACTCACGCCAAGTCGTTCTATCCGTCGCTATCGTATGCAGCTCACCCCATGTCCCCCTCCCAACTTTTCTTTCACCATCTAGCTCCCTTCTAAATGTGTTGTTGGTTTTCCTTAACTTCTATGCCCCCTGTGGGTTCCAGTGCAAAGACATTATAGTTAAAAATATTTTTCAGGTTTTCTCAACATTTGTCCTATCCGTATTTTCTTCACTTCTTCGTCCACTGTAACTTGCTTAGTTCTCTTCCAAAGCTCTACATCAGTGATTCTATCATACCATTTAATTCCCCTTATTCTGCACAAGCACCAGTTAACGAATATTTATAGTAATTTTAGGCAAAATTAATTCTCTTAGAATTTTGTTAAGTGACCAAAACCGAAACAGTAGCACATGTAAGCAGTGAAAGATGGACAGCGTGTGAGCAAGTTAAAAAAAAATACAATTACTGCCTGTAATTATCACTTTAGTGGTTTAGAAAAAGTGGAGGGGGGGTGTTCTGAGTGCTAAAGGCATCTGTGCCGCATGGCTAGTGCTGTCGCCACGTACTGTACCGGTTAAGATTTTATTTTTGCTCCCGAAAAAAAAAAAAGGCGCCAACCTTACCCATGATTCGAACACTTATCTCCTACATGAGAGCCCCGTGTGCAAATTGTTCGACCAGTTAACAGTAATCTGTAGTTGTAAATTTAACTTATCTTACAAGTTGGACGTTATGCACAACAAATGGTAACCGAACGGCTTGGAGGAAGTTCGACATGGAGGAGAAAAATGTGCCACACTGGATTGGAATTAGAGATGTTCGTTAAATCGGAAATACAAGTGAAACCACCGTATTCTTCAAGAAGTCAGGTGAAACAACAGTGAACAAAAGTTGGTGCAAACAGAGTGTGTGTGGGAACTTCAGGCGCAGAAAAACACCGTCTAATGTAAAGCTAGGTATCTCTACTAAGGAACACCAAACCTAATATCTCCAATATAGGCCGCACCCAAATTTTTATCAACAATTCTCGGTTAAAATACTACAGCCTATACTGGAGTAGATACGGTATTTAAAAAAAAAAAAAAAATAATTAATAACTGACCTTGGTTTCCAAGCTGACCAAGAAAGGGGCACAAGAAAATGTTAAAAGAAGTAAAGGCAGCCTGGGGGATATTGACCATCAATGCGGATTGGTCTAAACCTATGGGTCTAGCATCATATGCTTGATGCAGTCCGACGGGAAAATTGCCTTTTGCTTTGTTTATTTTTTAAAACTTTTATTACATTTTTGTTTAAGTTTAAATCTTACTTGATTGTCCATATGTTTTATGGATTATTGTTTGCTGTTTGTGCTTTTATTTTATGCAAGAACATTGATTCTATTAAAGGTATATGTAAATATGCGTTTATATCCTCAATAATTTACACCCTCCCCCTCCCCTGCGTTAGCAGTTGCATGGTACAGACATGCAACACGATCTAATTCTTTTTCTTCCTCAACATTCCGAGCCCTTGAGGTTCATTGCTGCAAATATCACCCGCCTCCATTCATCTCTCTGGTTGGCCTTCTTCTTCATCATTCCGAGGTTCATTGCTGCAGATATC